GTGTGCCAGCTACAGAAGAAGCCTGGAGCCTAGCGCCTTGGCAGCTGCTTGTGGGGAATGAAGTGTCTGAGTCAAGGGAAGCAGGGCAGAGGGGTGCAAAGACCCTGGGACAGCACAGGCCGGGTCGAGTCTGCTGGTCCCGGGAAGCCAGAAGCCGATTGGTCCCAGACAGAGAGTGAAGCACTGAGGTGTGCACCACAAGGCATATGTAGAGAGGTCAGAGGACAGCTTGTGGAGGAAGTTGCCTCTCTCCTTCCACCACAAGGGTCCCAGGGATCAAAATCAATGCCTCCAGGCTTAGCAGCTAGTGCCTTTACTCCCCCAACCATCTCAATGGCCTTAAAAATGTTTAAGGATGACACTGGCTGCTGAATGGAAATGGAACACAGGAAGTCAATAGCAGATCTTAAGAAATAATGAGAGAATGGGCATTTGTGCTGTTTTTTGGGCGCTGAAGGACAGGCTAAGATGGTGTCCAAATAGTCCCAGGCAATGGGCAATGGCCAGTCTGGGCAGGGTGGTGTGTCCTCCAGCCCCAGGGTATTATGGGAGGTGAGGGTACCACAAAAGGAAGACAGGGGAAAACACTAAAGAACAGCTTACCTTGTTCTTGTGGAGTTTGGCCTCTGTCAAACCAAGCCATTTGTGCTATTTAACTCTCTGAACACAGCGACACAATCTTTATGCCCAGAACACAGAAAGAGAGCAGGCTCTGGGGTGTGTGACGGCTCTGGAGCCGTGAGCCTCCAGGGAGAGCCGATTGAGTTATCCATCCACTCCCAGCCTCCTAGTTCCTGATCTACCCAGGAAAGGACAAGACACACTGAACATAGATTGTTCTGGAAGAGCAACTTTTGCTGTTCACAGATGAGCTGTCAAAGGACCATTAAAGGAGGCCTCGAGTGTCTCTGGAGAGGTGATTCGCTCAACTTTAAACAAAAGAATCCCTGAAATCCATGAAAAACCAAGAGCACTTGGCACCTGCCTGTGGCTGGCATTTTCCCCAGTGACTTCTGCCCCCTGCTGACCAAATCAGCGCATGGCACCCTGCCTGGCAGGCACAGCACACAGCTCTGGGCTCTTACACTTTGCATTCTGAGCACGGTTGTGTGTGTGTGTGTGTGTGTGTGTGTGTGTGTGTGTGTGTGTACGGGGCGGGGTGAGTCAGTCCTACAACTTATGCCCTTTATTGAGACGTCCACTGCCAAGCATTATACCAGCAGAGACACAGACAAGTAGTCCCGCTCCAGTGACGGGCCCACAAACCTCGAAGGTCATTGCCACAGTAATCTTCACACCAGCTGTGGTGCCTTGCCTTACAGCCAATTGTAAAAGCAGAGCTGCCTCATGCAGCCCCCCAGGGGACTCATTGAGTCCCAGGCTGTATATCAGAGCCATTCCCCTGATGCACATCCATGTACTGTCATGGGAGCAGGTAGGACAAAAACTGAGCTGCCGAAACTTGAGGAGCAAGCAGAGAGAGAGATCAAAGCTGGGCAGTCTGGTCCCAAGACCTTAGGTTTTTCATTTTAAGTCATCAGCCTTTTCAGTCAGCTATTCCTGTCTGTGGAAGAGTTTGACCCCAAGGGGACATTTGGCAATGTCTGGGGACTTTTTGTTGTAGTTGTCTGTAAGGGGAGATTATTTGGATAGCTAGTGGGTCAGAGATGCTGGGGAAAGAAAAAAATCTCACAAAGTTCGTGGTAGCTCCCCACCCTAAACAAAAAGTTCCCCATATTAAAATATCAGCTGTGCCCAGGAGAAACCCTGATCTACACCCACAAGACGCCACAAAGTCCTGGCCCTCTCTACTCAGCACTGCCCCAGACACACATGCGTCAGAGTGAAAGAGTGTTGGTTCCCAGAAGTCATTCTTTCTGAGGCTCTGTCTAAACTATATGAGGTACCCCTCCCTACTCATCCCCTTCCACAATGGTCTGTTTTGTCCCTAACAACTTTGCTACTACGCTATGTAATTGATGGTGTTCCAATGTCATCCAGACAGAGGGAGGATCCCAGGCTGTTCAGTGTACTAATGGAGGAACCTGGGCTATGCAGCAGGCCTGAGCAGCCCATGCCTCTTGCACAGACTGTATCTGTCACTGACTGGCTTTGTGCTTCAGGTCATGCATGCTGCTGTCCAGGCTGTCAGGAGCTTAGTGATCCCAGGATGACCCAAAGGTCCCTGGGAACAATGTGTCAGCGTCTGCCTCTAAGACCCACTCTCTAGAAAAGCCCTCCAGGCAAAGCCCCACACCTCTTCATCATCAGCCCCCACAAACATGCCTCCAGCTTTGGGAGGAGCACTGTTAACCCTTCCTGCCCGGTAGAGACTCAGCTCCAGCTTAGAGTAAAGTCAGGGGAGAGAGGAGCTGGGACCAAACTAACCTCCTCGAAATGATTGCTGCGTCCTTCCCACGGGCAACATTACCTGTGTGAGAACTGGTGCTCAAGAATGGGTGCTTGTTGGGTAGGGGTGTGGCTCAGTGATAGAGCCCTTGCCAGTGAGCACAAGGCCCTGGATTCAATTCCCAATACCACAAATAATAAAGAATAAATAAAATAAACAACCAATGATTGTCAAATTACCAGATGGGCAAATCCTATGAGATTTGTCCCCTTAAAAACACCCACTGAGTGTCTCGTTATCCTGGAAACTGTCCTAGAGGCAAGTGCTTGAAAAATATTGTGTTTCTTCTCATGAAACTGACCTTCAAGTATAGAATTCTACAAAGCACCATGGCACATCCTTGCCACCAGTGGCCAGTGCCAGGAATACAATACAGTAAGGAAGGAGACAGACTGACAGATGAAAGGAGAGTATTTCAAGTGAATGCCTAGAAATAGACCCCTAGGGGCATGCCACTGGGACAGTGATCTGAAGGTCATGAGGGACAGCGTCCTGCAGCCATTCTAGGAACCTTTAAGCACAAAGGTCCCTGAGGTGGGAATGCTTGAGGAGTTGGAAGAAGAATACAATGCCCAGAAAAATAAAGCAACCCTGGCACTGCCTAAGAGTGGGTGCTCAGACAGAAGTGTACATGGAAATTGCTCTGGGGTCACATGGGTCATAGCATTTGGGGGTGGGTACCTGTTGGTCCTGTTCCAAATTCATCCTTACCTAACAGTCGCCAAGTGTCAATGGATCATCTTCTCTGTTGCCTGTCTCCCAGCTGGGCTAAGTGGCTCAAGCCCCACTCCCTACTCTGTGCTTAGTAAGCACTCTCTAAGTATCTATTGGATGGATTCCTTAAAGAAGATGCCACATGACTTTTCCAAGAGACATGCCTTTCCACCTAGATAGGACAGAGAGACCAGGAAACAACCCCAACCCACATCACAAAAAACCAACTAGTTTATAGGGTTTCTTATGGAAGCCTGGGTAACGCTTAGGCAGTGATAGTTCCAGAAGCTCCTCATGACACAGGCACCTTTTCAGAGAGACAGGTATTCCCTCTCTGAGTGTTAGCCATCATCCTGGGGTTCAGTAAAAGTGAGAAAGATGGGGTGGAGAGCTCTGGCCAACCTGCAGCAGCAATGCTGAGCTATGGTGGTGGATACACACCCACTCCACCCCAAAGACTTGTGTGTTGAAAGCCTGGGTCCCAGTGCCGGAGTTATAAGAACTAAAGCCTTTAGGGGAAGTAACTGGAGTAAAGTGATCACTGGAGCTCTGACTTCATCGGTGGATTGATGGTTAACTCATGTGAGAAATGGAATCCAGTTGCAAGAGTGTGTGGTTGGAGCTCTTCCTCCCCTCTCCTAATAGAAGGTGGCTATATGCTTAAATGCTACCATTATTACGATGTTCAACCAAATGACCAGACTAAACCTTTCCTGTTTTAAATTGTTTCTCTGTTTTGTCACAGCAACAAACCCCAATACATGGACAACTTGTCTCTTTTCCTTTCTCCCATGAGATAGATAGTTTCTACCTTTTTCAGAGCTCAGGAGGTGTGGTGACTTGCCCAGCCATATCCCATCACTTGGTGACAAAGCAAGAGAGGCTCCTAGAAAAGATGGCATTTACCCACCCTCCCCTCATGAGGGACAACTTGGAGATGACATCCTTTTATCCACAACAGAAGAAGCCGAGTGAAAGCGAAGCACAAATCCACTCAACCATGTTACCATGGCCTCCCATCCACTCTATATTCAAGGAGACCCTATAACCTCTTGTTTGAAAACTGTGTTCATATGTTCTCAGGTATCACTTTCAAATTGCGTCTAATTTAGATTTCATGTTTTAACTGGTACATTATAACAAATCTGTACTATTTACATATGTATACAGAGTATGAGTTTCCATCAGGACAAAGGTGACTTTGTAAACATTACTCCTTTCCATCCCGCTCCTGGAAGGTGAAACGCAAGGATGTTGTCCGCAGTCTCCCACTGTTCAAATCATACCGGGCCTTCCGGCATCTACACAGTAACGTCTTCCTCAACTTTCCGCATCTTTCCCTCCCCGCTATTTCAGCTTTTAAGGCGCATAACACGCTTTGGCTTTAAAGACGGCATTTTGCTTCTGGACATGAGGCAGGGGCTAGATCTGCTGGTGCTCCATTGAGCCTGGGGTCTGAAGACGCAGCCATCAGCACTGGGATCTCGAGACTGCGACTTTTTCTACTGCGCAGGCGCCGCTCTAGAGGCGTCGCCCCGCCCCATGTGGTACGGGTGTGCACTTCGCGAGTGTTCAAACCACACTCTAGCCAATCAGAAAGCCTCACTAAGCCCCGCCTCCAGCTGCATCCTGATTGGGCTGATTCTCCAAAGACACTGGAGGTGCACAGCGGTGATTGACATCGTCTGAAGCCATTGGCCAAGCCGAGAGCAGTTAAAGGCAGAAACCCCTCCGCATCGTCGGGCGAAGGAGACGGTTTTCCCCGCCTCCTCCTTCTATTGGGTCTCTGGAGCCTCCGAGCGTTTGGTAGCAACCAATCGTAGGACAACATGGAGGGAGGAGGCGGGTTGGTGATGGTTGCCAGGAGCCGGTTTGGCGCGACTCTTGGGACCAGTGGGACTAGTGGTTTGTGTCCCAACGCTACAGAAGGGGCCTGAACCGGAAGGCTCGGCAGGGATCAGCTCAGCTCCGCTCCGCTCCGCTCCGCTCCATTCCGCCGGCAACTCTGCCGGCTGCCTGGGGCCTTGAAGCCCAATGTCCACCCAACCCTAGCTCCCGGGCCTCCATCCATCCTTCGAGGCCACAGGCCCTGGGATCAGCTGTCCCCAAATTCTAACCCTCTTTCAGCCACCCTCCTCCCCAATCCCTGCTAGAGGCTGGTTACCATGGTGAAGCTAGCAGCCAAATGCATCCTGGCAGGTGAGTGATAAAATGCTCTTGAACGCGTGGTCTTCGGAGCCTGAACCATCCTAACTCACGCAGTTTTGGTTCGCGATTGCGTCCACTGTCTTTCTTCCATAGGAATAGTGACCAACAGAGTAGATTCCAGTAAGCGGGGAAAATTATTCCCTCTCCCCTCGGACACATTTGTAACTACAGTTGTGTTCCTCGTCTCCCTCCCATATTTTGAGACCATCTTCACCAGGTAGACTTACAGTACAAACATGGACGGCACCCCAAAGTTAGGCATCAGTGACGCTGGCCCCACCATCCTCTGATATGGGTGGGGTGGGTTACTGTGCTGCCCAGCTGAGAGCCTGGACTTGGAGTTTCCCCGGAAGTAAGAATCTCATTATTGTTGACTGACCTGGAAATAGCCTGTACAATGCCCAGAGCATGGATGAGTATTAAATAGATACATGCAGAGTGAGTGAGTCGTGGTGCTCACACCTGTGGACTTTCGTAGAGCCAGTCGGAACATTGAGAAGACCATTTGCTTAGCTTGTAGATAGACTGGTTAACAGTAACTGCATAGACACTACATGCTGTATTTCATTTAACCCCTTTGCCACAGTACAGCACAGCAGGGTAGGTTTCATGTGGTCCTGATATGACTGGGGCATCTAGTGGTGTTGCATAGGGTGAACCCCTAGGGAAGGTCATACACAGGATTCTTACATGAAGTGTTAGCCACTTTTTTGTTGTTATGACAACATACTTGACAGGAAGCAACTTAAGAGGAAGGGCTTATTGTGATTTACAGTTCCAGGGGACAGTCGGTCATGGTGGGAAAGGCACAGTGGCAAGAGCCAGCTGCTGGTTGGTCACATTGCATTCACAGTCAGGAAGTGGAGCCATGAGCACTGCTGCTCAGCTCACTGTCTCCTTTTTATCCAGTCAGGGGATCCAGCGCATAAAAAGGTGCCACCCACCTTTGGAGGTGACCTAATCTAGATAATTTCTAAGATATGCCCGGCCCATGATTCTTTTTTGCAATCAAGAAATTAGCAAGCAGGGGGTGGTGTCATTGAATCTTTATCCTACAGACTGAGAATGGGGGATAGTTCCCTTAATGACTGTTCTAATTTGAAAACAAAAGGGTCACACAGAAAGATGAGTGACAGTCGTGACTCAGACCCTCTTGCAGCAGAAAGAACCCTAGCTCTCCAGAGTGCCTCTGGTTCCCAGAGCACCAGGGGAGGCAGTATTGTGTAACAAAAGGATGTTGGTCAGTCCTTTCTCCCTGGCTCTGTTGCCTTGGACAGCATTCAGCGTCTGCATGGGTAAGTTGGGGACATTTTCATTTTTCTAAAGTTAAGTTTCTTTCTAAGTGGGCGGCTCTGCCTGCTGTTCTCTGCTTGTTCCTCGTTAGCTGGTGAGCTCTCAAGAAGCAAGAAGCTCTTGTCATGAGCCATTCTCCTGAGACTTGCTGTGTGCTGGCCCCACGTCACACCCTCAGGGCAAGTCTTCTGCAGAGCCCTCACAGCCACCAGACAGTCCTATGTCATCCTGTGTAAGATGAGGCAAGCAAGGCCCAGAGCAATGAAGACACTTGTCCTAGGTCTGGACCCAGGCACTGTGCCTGCCACATGATTCCAGCCCCAGCCAGAGTCAGTAGTGGCTCCTGGTCTCCACTCCAACCTGATCCTCAGTCTACAGCTTCTAGTTAAGTCCTTCAGGGTATCTCCCGTTGGGAGCCTCCAGGTACCAACAGACCCCAGTGGAACCACATTCAGATCCTTAATCTCCATACCTCCCTTGCCACACACACGCCCCTACCTAGCTTTTTCTTCTCAGCCCTCATATGTTCTCTCATATATAACCAGTCCACATGTGTAGTCACTCAGCAGATGTTCGCTGAGCATCTGCTGTGTTGGGTCACCATGCAAGGTGCAGTTGACCCAACTCCCTCACCAGGAAGAACCCAGATGTGCAGGTGTGAACCGTGGGCCCTTCATGTGTCAGGCTCTGAGGAGTGCCTCAGACACAGCTGCCACTTCTTTGGCTTGAGATGGAGGGGGGATAAAAAGGCACAGTTGACATTGGTCTGTGTTTCATCTGTTTAACAGACAGGGGACACACTGATTCACTAACTCTCTAGCAGGTCTATGAAGGTAGGCAGTGTTGTTACTTTTTACAGATGTAGAAAGGGAACACAGAGGGCTTAAGTAACTGACCTAATGTCACACAATTAGTGTGGAGCTGGGATCTGGCCCCAAGTCTTTGCCCTTTTGGTGATAACCATCTGTATAGGGATGTGGAGACAATAGGCACACTTGCTGGAGTGTAGTCCTGGCAACCCTTCTGAGTATATGCATCTGATAGGATAGCCACCCTGGTAAAGACAGCAGAGCGACAGATGACCTCGAAGGCACACAAGCCATTTGAGCTTTGCCTGGAGAGAAAGGACAAGATCTGGACTTGGATTGGAGAGTCCAGGGTACAAAAGGACATTCATGGCACCTCTAGATTTTCTGTAAGGGACCATTGGAGATGGTTGGATTGCCAGCTACAGGTTGACCAAAGAGAGCAGTGGATGCCTGCTGTGGGTGAATGAGAGGACTCAGGGCAGTCCTGTTCTGTGGCACTATGATGGGGCTGAGATGTGGTTGTTGGCATGGGCAGTCAGGGAAAGGTAATGACAGAATCGGCTCCTGAGATGTGACAGGCCAGAGTCAGCCAGCAAAGCACTGAGATGCAGAGCAGAGGTGCAGAGGCAGAAGGACCCCACAAGCTAGGAGCAGGCCTCTGGGGAGGGGCACTGCCTGGCTGCTACAGCGTTCAGTTCCATCAACCCTAGGGCAATGTCATAATGTGCCCACCGGGACCTGTTTCCCCTGGCAGGGGACTCAGCTCAACTTCAGAGCCAGCTGTACCCAGCCCATTTCTGTATTTTGAGACCTTGAAGTGGGTTCAAGCCAAATGTGGGGCCTGTGTCCTGGTGATGACTGCACTCTATAGTAGTGACTGTCATGTAAGTGGCAAATCAACATATCAGAGGCAAGGACACTGGGGTAGTCAGGTGCGGGGATCACTGCCCTCAGAGCTGGGCAGAGGGAAGCTCAGAGAAGAGGCTTCTAGCCCTGCTATAATGTATGTGCTCCTGGGGTAGCTGTGGAGTGTGGGGGGGGGTGGAAGTGCCCAGTGCATAGGCTTGAGAGACAGCCCGTAACAGAAGAGCCAGGAAGAAGGCAGTAGGATGTAGGAGGTGATGGTGGTCTATCCTGGGACAACAAGGATGCTGGCTACATGGTGGTGTGATGAGCAGAAAGACTGAGAGAGATGGAGACCTCACTCGGGCCTTTGGTGAGACATGGGCTTGGCTGTGGCCAAGCAGGCTACAGAAGGCTCTTTGGAAAGAGCCAGCCTAGGGCAGCAAGGGGCAGGGATGAGAGAAGCCAGGGCTGTGGCTGTGGCTCAGTAGCAGACCCCTTGCCTCACATGCATGAGGCCCTAGGCTCAATCCCAAGCTAAGATGGGGGGTGGGGGGGAGCCGAGGCAGGAGAGCCAGGATCAGAGCATTGAAGATGACCCAGCAGTGCCCACTTGGATGAAGGCATGCAGGGGGCAGAGGGTCAGGTAATGGTGATAGCCCAGAGCCCATGCAGGGTCACCACAACCACATGGTGTGCTTTCAGGTCACCTCCCCGTCAGAGAGTTCACTAGTGAGAACCCAGGAGAGGTCTCGGGACTTGGCAATTAGCTATGTGGTCATAGGTAGCCTCATATGGTGCCTTTCTAAGTAAATCCAGTCTTCCAGCCCTGGCCATGGCTCCAGGGAAGCCCCCTGCACCCAGCAACCACATGGGCTCATGGGCTCTCGAGGTTTCTCATGTTCCCTCAGATGCTCTGCTTCTCAGCTGTGCTGTCTGCCTTTTCACTTGTCATCCTGTTGCTCTGAGAATATGTTTGTCAGCTCACCCACCTCCCTGTGCTCAGATCCCTCCTCGTAGCCCACACAGGAGCTTCGCTGCCAGCCCTGGTGACTGGCAGTCAGCAAAGAGTTTCATGAAATTAACCAAAACCAATCTGTGGGGGGAATTTCCCAGGAGAAAGAGCCAATTTCATCCCTGGATTAGGAACAGAATGGGAGTTGGGATAGTGACTGGCTGCCTTCTGGGTCTTCAAGGAGGCATGAGGAATTGCTGTGCTGTCTGCCCTGGAGTAGGTGGGGCCAACAGACCCTGAGAGGCCATAGTGTAAAGAACCTCAAGGTGGCATTTGGGATGGTCAGCCAGACCAGCCTAGTAAAGCAAAGCAATATAAAAATCCTAGATAGTTACCTAGCTTCTTTGAGCTGTCTTCACCCGTGACTTCAGTCGGGGGTGCAGCATGGGAGGGAAGGACTTGTGAGGAGAGTGCTGCCCATAGCCAATCCCTTCTAAGAAGTGCTGACAGGAAATCAAGTCCTGAACGGCTCACTCGGCCCTAGCAGAGGTCTCCTACATCAAGACACCGCCCACAGTTGTCATGAAATTGTCTCACAAGAGAAAATGACAGGTGGGAAAAGTCAAAACTAAGCAATGTCCCGAGCAGCAGACTGGAGAAGTCAGGCAAAGGGAGTCACTATGAAACAGACTAAAGATGGAGATTGTCCCAAATGCTGGGATGGTGGTGGTGATGTCCCTGAGGGTGCCCACTAACACCTGGGTGATGGAATAAGAATCAGTATTCTCTCAAGGTTGGGAAGATACCCTGCATGTGTAAAACAACCAGGTCAAGCAGGGGTCAAGGCTACAGGTGGGACAGTGGAGAGGGCAAGGCACCCTGAGTTGTCCCCATGACAGCCCCAGAAAAACTCCATATGAAACCACTCCTTCTTATCTTGCAAAAGACTCAGATCTAGACCTGAAAACTTATAGGAACCTCTCTGATGTGTGGGTTCCTGCAGCTTTTCATTGAACAGAGAGAGGGAAGGGCTCGGCCCAGCTGGGCCAGGAGGCCATAGGATATGACAGCAGATGCTGGGGGACGGGGAGGGGTGGTGCTTGCTCCTAAGTCTGAAATTCAGCATTCACCTGGCACGTGGAGATGGAGTACATCACTTGAAAATGAGTTTTCGCACAGTGAATGCAGCCTCTGGATGTTTTTACTGTCAGTACAGATGAAAATGCAGGCAGTGGCTCAGCCAGGTAGGGTCACGAGTTGGCTGCTCACTCCATTTTGCTGGCCAGACTCTAGAGCAAATTGGAGTTTGAAAGTGACAGGTTTCCCCCACGGGGTGTGCTTTGGTAAAAGAGTGTCACTTCTGTTGCCAGGGCTCTGGAGCCCTCCTTAACCCGTTACCTTCTAGGTCATTCTGGTTGACAGGGCTATGAGGTGTATAGAGATGTATTCTGGCCCTAGTAAGCTTTGGGTCTCCTGGACCAGTTACCCTGCTGGCAACCTCCCAGAACAGCTGCAGACATCTGCTCTGAAAACTCAGCAAAGTTTCTGGTTTCGAGTCAAGCTCTGCTGAGTAGGAGGAGGTTCTCATGCCTGATGAGACACAAGTAATGTCTTTGCCTCTGCTCTGGCTTCAGGAGACTCAGCTGTAGGCAAGACGGCCCTGGTACAAATGTTCCGAAGTGATGGGACCCATTTCCAAAAGAACTATACTCTGGTAAGTGGGGCTGTAGAGTCCCTGCCTGGTCACAATGTAAAGAAACATGACTGTTAACCATGAGAGTGACTTAGCAAAATCCTCAGAAGCTGTCCTAAGAGGCCTGAGAAAAGATGGGGAAGGGACATGGGGTAGCCACATGGAGATCCAGTTTCCACTGGCCACCAGTAAAGGACAGTCTCCTGAAGGGACTGGCCAGAACACCACATGGTTGTGAGGAACAGTGGAGGGCAGGAAGTTGGGAGGCCCTTGGGGACTCTGACTTCTACCTGGCTGGGTTACCCCTGCAGGGAGGTGGGGGCTTGCCTCATTCTGGACTGCCCCACTGTGGGGCGCTCTAATGCCCATGATCTTGGTGTCTCCTGCAGACAACAGGTGTGGATTTGGTGGTGAAGACAGTGCCAGTTCTTGACACAAATGACAGTGTGGTGAGTGGTGCCCTGAAGCCAGGGCACTTGGGACTGCGCCCTTGGGCTGGGGTACCCTCCCTGCAAGGGACATGGAACAATGACACAGGGAGTCTTTGAGGGAGGGCCTGAGAAAGGAGGGGAGGATCGGGATGCAGGCCTTACCAAAAGTACTTGGTATCTTTTATCTGAGTTTTTATCAGGATCCCTACAGAGGCCCCGCAAGTCTTGAGGGTGCCTGGCACAATGTCATGTTTGCGTGGCTGCTCCCACAAGAGGGTCTGTAGCATTCACCGGGTCCTTAAGGAGACCAGCAAGCAAAATCAAAGACAACAGACATCCCCTGATACTACAAGAAAGGCTAAGACAGAAACCACTCTACAGGACAGGTCATGGAACAGACAGCCACACCTGCCAGGGTCCAGAGCCAGGCAGGGGGTTCTGCAACAGGAGGGGACTCAAGGATCTCAGGGGACTCCGAGAAAGCAGCAGCATTGCTAAAGGTTTCCACCAGGGCTGGGAAGGCTGGATGCCTTGTGTACAGAGTACACAGTCACCATCTCAGAGTGGTGACAGGCTGTCCTACTTTAAGCACCATCCCCAGGCCTCCTTGGTGACCTCCTTTACCAAAAATCCTTATATGATCTGAGAATCCATTTGGTTAACAAAGCACAGAGTGACCTTTTGGACACCAGAACACTTGTCAGCCTGCTTAGCATCCTGACCTGCCAGGTGGGCAGTCAGCCTGCTCTCTCGACTTGTGCTTGAGCTTGGGAAAGGTGAGCCAGGTCACAATGCCAGGTGGGTGGACGCTGTACCTCTGTCTTTGGACTGTTCTTGCCATCTCTCTGGGGCCTCAGAGAAGGTAGAGCTTGTGTGAAAGCACCATGCGAGTGGGCATGTGTACTCTATCTATTCTCAAGCCACGCCCATAGAGAGCTGAGTGGGAAACCTCAGCTTGACTCTTGCCATGTTCACTTCTGAGATGCACTTTTCTGGTTCTAGGAACTCTTCATTTTTGACTCGGCGGGCAAGGAGCTGTTCTCTGAAATGCTGGATAAATTGGCAAGTAGTGTTTTTTGTTTTTTGTTTTTTTCTACCCACCTCTACCACCCACTTCTGCCCAACCCCTTCCCCAAAGGGATACACTGGGGCCATCGGAAGTAGCCTTTCAGAGCTGTCCCTCCCAGTTGAGGCTTTGGGCCCTTGGCAAGTATGTGTTCCCACTTGCCCATTATGGCTACCCCCAACTCTGGAACGTACCAGGAAGCATGAAACTGATCTGTCCTTGAAGCCCCACCTCAGCCCCTTCTGGGGGTCTTACAGCCCTCTGCCACTTCCACTGATCCCTTCCCCTCTTGGGAGGCCTACAGCGAGAAGTGAGCTCTGCCTCCTCTCCCACACCAAGAAGGGTTATTGCATTGGCCTTGTTCTGCCAACCTCTCCAGAGCCCATCCTGAGCTGGCCTTCCAAGGATACTAGAACACAGGACTCTACATGCCCCACAAGCTCAGATCAGGGCCGAATTGTATAGGGAAGGTGGTACCCAGAGCCCATACACCAGAGGGAGAGTCCACAGTCTTGGCAGGGGCATCCCATGACCCCCATCATGGACAGGCTGCAGGATATCTAAGGACTTTTTAGGCCAACAGCCCTGGCTCTTCATTGGGTACCAGAGCCCCCTCCAGGTGTTAGCATAGTGTGCATTAGGACTGATGGCAACACCATGGGAGAAGCCAAAAGTGTCCCCTTCTGAAGAAGATGCAGGGAGACACATCCAGGTACTAGGCAGTGAAGGAAAGTGCACCGGAGAACACCATCGCCTCATAGTGGTGGGCTCTCAACTATGGTGCATGAGTTAGCAGAACCATGGCGGACTAGAGTGGGCTTCTGGGTAGAAAACAGCCCTGCCCCCTATCTGGCTGCCTCTGGAGCCTGTCAGCCAAGACCAGTCAACATCACCTGAGCTGTCTTCTTCAGCTACACAGTGATACTCTTCCCCAGACAACCCTACCAACTGGCGCACCGCAGTGATGCATAGGCTGCCCCGATGAGAGGTGCCTGGCAGCCGCTGCTCCCTCCTGGGTAGCAATTCCCCTCACCCAGGTTCAAGCTCATCTTTCCCAGATGGGAATGTTTGTTCCACATGAGTGCCACTGAGCCTGGCCTCCATTCTGTGGTGAATGGTGGCTATCTGTGAGTGTGACAGTTTCCCAGCTCACATCCCTCCCTCACTCACCTTCCTGACAGCTGGGCTTCCTCCCATCCAAGAGTCCCTGTTACACCCCTGAAATGTTCTTGTTTAGGTGTGGTCAGCACCCCAGGTACCTAGTAAAATCTCTCCCTACATTCTTCTCCTGTCTCCTTAGTGGGAGAGTCCCAACGTCCTGTGTCTCGTCTATGATGTGACCAATGAGCAGTCCTTCATCAGCTGCAACAAGTGGCTGGAGAAGGGTCGGGCCCCGACTCCGAATACCTCCCTCCCAGGTAGGAACCATGGATAGCCCTTTGCCCAACAGCACCTCTGACCTTCAGCTCATTGCACACACCACTGTGGGAGTAGAGCAGGGGCCTGAATCCCTGACTCTTTGACTTCAACATCCTTTACTGTGCCCTTGCTCTGCTCCTTAATGGTCTTGAAAACCTCCCCAAGCCTGGGATGGGGAGACAGTGCCACCCACCAGGAAGTGTTGTGAGAGTTTGGATAATAAGGCAGAAGTTGCTGCATTCTGAATTGATCTCTCCAGAAAGCTAACTCCGGGGAGGAATCCCTCATTTTCCCAGGTACACAGGGCACAAGTTACATTCCAGCCCTGTTGTCACTTCTGCATGCTTTAAATCAGTTTCTCTCTCATCCCTGTGTGAGATCAACAAATTCTCCTCATTAGAGGCCAGGGAAAGCAGCCTCCAGAGACGGGCTGAGAAATTAGTGCAGCCGAGGCAGCTGGGAACGGAGCTCAATTACCTGAGTCCCTGACTCCGAGCCCAGGCCTGAGATTAGCATTAATGACCATGTCCAGTGTTGGTTCCATGTGCCGAGAATTATCACAAATGCTCTTCTAAACTTGGTCCAGGCCTGCCTAGTGCTCCCAGCCTATGGAGATGAGGAATATAGATATATTTTAAGCCACGAGAGAACTCTGAGTTGAGCTGCATAAGCATAGCAAAGCCAGCCTGTCCTCTGTGGCCCTTGGGGACCTTCCCTGCTGGCACATACCACCTCAAGCAGGCAGCTTCTGTCACCTGATGCATCGCAGGCCCTCTCTCTGCAGCTGACCTCCCATCATGCCACCTCAAAACACAACATTGTGGTTATTTCTTTTGAGTAGGTGTTTTAGTGGGAACTAAGACAGACCTCTCTGGCCGACGAACAGTGGATTCTTCTCAGGCCCAGGCATGGGCTCTGGGCCAAGGCCTGGAATTCTTTGAAACATCTGTGGTGAGTACCCCCACCCTTGAAGCCACTGAGCTGGGGGAGCTCTGTGCTGGAGGTTTGTTCATGACCCCAGATGCCTCAAATGGTTCTGCTCCCAGATGCAAAATCTAAATTAGAACCAATGTTGACATTCTACCAAGAATGCTCAGTGTGTGTCATGAGAATCCTGTGTGGCACCCAGAAGCAGGGCAGACAGGCTACCCTAGGCAAAGCTGTGTGCATCTCAGGAAGACTTTGAAATGGAAGGTGGTCCATTTCCCTGACCCTTGAACTCTGTGAGAGCTGCTGAAGGACACAGTACTGCTGGCTCTTGGTTTCAGTGGAGCCTCCCAGATAGCTCTGTGAGATACGACATGTCCTGTTCACAATTCAGCATCAAAGTGCAAAACTGACTAGCCCAGGCCCACATGACCAGGGTGTACCCAGCCCCCAAACCCCCAGCTTCTCATCCCATAGGAGCACCTAGTGTCATCTTGGATGTGAGAGCCTCCTGCAGTGAGGAACTCGAGTGATGGGTCACGGGCTTCATCAGGGCTGGCCAGCACAGCGACACACCTTCTTACTCGTGACTCTGACCACACCACATACCTGTTCTGAGCCTCCCACCACAGGCATGCAGATGTCCCAGATGCCGTGTCTCATAAGAAGCCACAGCCCTCAATCAGGAGCATTGCCTGTTAGGCCTGCAGTGGCTATGTTGTATGAGGTCTAACTTTAAGTTCTGTAGGCCCAATTCTTTGGCTTCCCAAAAAGGTCAATAGGGGTAGTACATACCCTGGGTGTCACCTCCTCCAGCTACAGGCTCTGTCACACCTGCAGAATAGCCTGTTGCTGTGTGAATGTAGACATCTCTTATGTCCCCCACTGGCACACTTCCTCAGACAAGTCATAGCCTTCAGGGCAACAAGGCAATGCCTTCCAACAGCAAGGAGCCGAAATGGCTCTAGGACCCTGGGAACGGGATATATACAGGGATAAGAAACGTCCCTTTGCTGATTATCACACCCGGGAACGTAAAACACTGAACACAGTGTCTAGTCTGGTTGAGTAAACACTCAACATGCTAGCTTTTTAAAAGAGAAATGATCCCCTAATGTGGTGATTTTACTGTTACCACTTACTAAACCCCAGAACCTATGGCCAGTACAGAGATGGATGTCACCCCTGCCTGGAGTCCCAATTATCACAATACTAGATTAATGAAGTTCAAATGAGAGAGCTTGCACTACACAGGGCTCCCTGACAGTGCTGTGCTACCCACTTTTGAGTAAGCAGAGAGCTTTATACCCATAGCTCCCCATTCCCTCCTCTTCTACCTTTGGCAGTCACACCATCCCCTACCCCAACACCCCATATTTCCCGGAAATTAAAACCTGGCCCCACACATCAGTCGCCCAAGTACTGGTCAGCTCTGTTTAGGTATCAGGACAGATGCACATAAATCCTGCTTGAAGAGGCTGCGGTTGAGCACTCCGTATTAACTGTGTGAGTTAACTAGTCCCCCCTGAGTTGCTGCTAACAGGCGTGCCACTGGCGGCTCGGTTAAGAAAGCTGTAATTAAAAAGGGAACATAACCCAATGTGGTTTGAGATGCTGCCAAGCCCATCTCCTCTTCACTTCTTCCGAAGTGCAGCAGCCTCGGGGAGAGGCCCCCATGGTTCTTTGGCTCTTAAACACCTTTCCATGCATGGCTGACATTTCTGGGCCCCGAAAAAGTGAGAAAGGATTTCTTTGAACAAAGTTTAAAGAATTTTCTAAACCAAAACCCAAACCCATTGTTTATCACTAAGGTGAGATTAAGTATAGGAGGCCAGTTCAGGTCTCCATGGGGAGGGCTGCCCTCCCAGGCCGCTGAGGCCTGCCATTTGCTTGTGTAAATTACCATTTGAGCTTCGTATGCCCCGACAAGACAGTTCAGTTAGCAGATAGACCCAGAGAGGTTGTGTATTTCTCCTGTTGCACAGCTAAGGAAGAACAGAACCAACACCAGGACGCAGCTCTGTCCAGAAGACCTGAATGCTTACGGTCTTCCAGAAGTGTGCACCCTTGACCTCCTCAAGGCATCTGCTGGGGGCTCTTGGTGACAGAATTTTAGGTCAAACCAAGGGCTAGTCTGAGCCCACTCCAAATGCCATCTCTCAACAGCCTGCTCTGTCAGGGTCCACACTGCACAAAATGGAGATTAGTCATCAGCTAAAAGGACTTCTGTTGCTGGCGGCCCCTTAATGTGTTTGGAAAATGTTTCAATTCCCAGCTATTTCCAAGCATTCTGTGGTGTCTTTCAGGGCTCCTGAGCATTGGATTCCTTGCATTTCACCATGGGTTCTCCAGCCAGTGCTTTGGAGAGCTTTTGGCTTCATCTAGAGACCCTCCCATAAGACTTCATAGGCCTCCTTCCCTCCACTCAGCACTTAAGGACACTTTGGTTGTAGGGGTGGCGGTGGGGGGGGGAGGTACTTATTCAGTGACATTGACTGCCTGGGACATGATGGCCACACAAGCAGAGGTGAAGCTGGCTAGGCTCTCATGCCCGTGGAGACCTTAGTAGGTGCTCTCTGGGCTGCAGACTGTCCTCCTTTCCCAGCACACTCTTGGCATTGAGCCCAGGTTTTTCTTGGCCAACAGCTCCCCCTGCTCACACTTGCTTTTCCCTTGCTGTGGGGTCCAGACAGCTTTCTCCCTAGGCCTGGTGCACTTCTGTCTAGTCTGGGATCAGGATACAGTGTCCAGCTGGGCTACTCCACCCTCTGGGCTTCATCCACTCCTCTGGAAAGTGCAGACACACTGACTTCTGTGGTATTCTTCCCATTTCATCAGGGACACTTCAGTGCCTCGAATCGAGTTGTGCTGTGCCTTTGCCAGTCACTGAAAAGCTTTCAGACAGGCCCTTGTATACTCTTAGCTGCATCTCTTGTCTGCACTGTGGTAGGTTCTCTCTGCCACTTTGTTCTTAAAAATGCCCAGATAGTGTGGTGGTGTGTACCACTTGGGAGACTGAAGTGGGAAGATAAAGAATTCAAGGCCAGCAAGGACTGCATAGCAAGACCCTGTCGTAAATTGATGGTGGTGATTGTGATGGTGGAGGTGATGGTGAAGATGGTGGTGGTGGTGGTGGTGGTGGTGGTGATGTTGGCTAGGGGTGTAACTCAGGTAGGAAAGTGCTTGTTGAGTGCAGGGAACTCCAAATTTGATCACCAGCACCGTAATCCCAGAACTGCAGAAGTAGAGAGGCAGGGAGATCAGAATTCCAAAGTCAGCCGTGGCTATCGTGAGTTCAAGGTCAGCCTAAGCTGCATGAGACTGAGACCGTATCTCACAAAACAAACAAAAAAAGTTGCCTGAGAGACAGGTTCCTATTATGGGTCCCCTGGTGTTGCAACATTAGCCCCAATAAAAACTTGGGAGACAGGAACCCAGACAAAACCCAAACAAAACAGGCATCCACACCGCAGGTAAATAGTGGCTGTGGTGTCGGGAGGGTGCTGTGTTTATGCCCTTCCTTCTTACAGCCCCTCTGACCTCACCATGGAGGGCCTGCCATTGACCACTCTTAGATCAATCCTCTGGAAAATAGAAATGTTGTCTGGACACCTTTAGTCATGAAAAGCAAGCATTCAGTCAGCGCTACCCCAGGGATCAGGGATGAGGAAAACTGTTAAACGTCCAGCCAAGAGCCATCCCTGGGGAGGATCAATCCCAGAAGTCCCAGTGTATTCCTTAAAGATACGCTTGCTGCCACTTGGTCCTGTGTCCCCATCTTTTCATGCCCCCCCCACCATCACCGCCACCACCATGGCTTTACTGGTCCTTGGAGTAGAAGATCCCTGCTGCAGCCTGGCATCTTGCATAGGGGGTTGTGTGTGCTGTGCTTTTCCTAGCTGGGCTGTGCCCTGTTGCCTGTGTAGCCCCCCTCCTCTTCCCACCTGGAGGCCCGCTGTGGCCAGACTCTCTGCTATAACACATCAGTCTACTGTTTTGCTTTGGCCTTTGGACCTCTGTCAAAGCTAAGTCAGGGGATTCATCTTCATGTCCTCCACACAGAACCCTAGTGGCCACAAGGATGGCTCTAGAGACGGACCTCAGCCCAGACCCTGGCTCCACTATTCACATGTCATGCAACTGTCAGTGTGCTCCTTCTATCTCTGTTTCCCTATAAAATTTCCACTGTGATAGCAGCTGCCCACACAGCATGAAGATGCCTCTTCACCAAGTGTCAGGAGCCGGAAGGGAGAGATGCCTCTAGTAGGGGCCAGCTTCCTCAGACGGTAAATTCTCACACCCTTCTCACTTCTTACAGAAGGAGATGGACAATTATGAGGCCCCATTTCACTGTCTGGCCAAACAGTTCCACCAGCTGTACCGGGAGAAGGTGGACATGTTTCATACCCTGGTGTGAAGGTATGGTGGACTGTCCCACAGGTGGACTGCCAGGCTGTTGCTGGGCTGTTGGGAGCCCAGCAGACCTTCATCTCTCCAGGAGACAGAAGATGGAATTGCCTGGTACTTCTCAGATATTACCACAGCTGTCAATAAAATGAGGAAATGAATAGTGGCTGCTTCCATTCTTAGCTGGGGCTGTGTCTTTAACCACTGTTGCACTGGCCAGTCATAGGGTACGCCTGGTCCCTGTTTCCACCCTCCAAGTATAGGGCCTGCCTGCTCTGTAGGTCCCCTATAGGCCGTTTGTAGAGAAGGCAAACCCCAGGTTGGTTTGGAAGTACCTGTGAGCTGCCACAGCACCAGTACATAGAAGCAACCCTGACTGGAGGATCTCCAGGTACCTCTCTTCCTCAAGGGGACTACTATTCCAAGGAAAACAGTGACCCCTGCCCATGCCCACTGCTCAGCTTGGGGTTCAGCTAGCCTCTCCCAGCTATGCTGCAGGGAACCCTGAGTGTACAGACAGCTGAGAGATGGCCACTTCCTGTAATGGCTGCCTCTCCACTCAGAAGCTGGGCAGCTGTGTCTCCCTCTTTCCATGCTGTCACTGCTATCAGACTAATCCTTCTGAAACATCACTTCACCCTTTTACTCCCCCGACTGTCACTCCTCCCTGGGGGACCCCTACTTCCTCAGTGACTCCCTTGGCCCATGGGCTATGTCACTATCCCCAGATCTCTGTATTTTGGGAGTGTCGTACCAACAACACTAACTAGGGGTGTACAGCCCCTGGTGTGCCCTTGTGATAATGGCCATGATGGAATGACTCTAGTTACCGCTGGTGACCCACCATGTCTCTACATGAGCTAAGCGCATTACGTGTATCCACCAATTCTGTCCTTACAGCATGGAGTCTGTTAATATCCCACTTTTACAAATGACAAGCTGGAAGGAGAAAATTAAGCTCAGCCAAGGGGCAGCAGAGCCAGAACACTCAACTCCAGAGCCAGCAGCTCCCCGCTCCCCTCCTCCCTCCCCCGAGCTTGGCAGGAGCTGTGGAGGCCATGCTGCCTCCAGAGGGTGAAGGTCAGGCTGCTTACTAACACTCAACTCCAGAGCCAGCAGCTCCCCGCTCCCCTCCTCCCTCCCCCTGAGCTTGGCAGGAGCTGTGGAGACCATGCTGCCTCCAGAGGGTGAAGGTCAGGCTGCTTACCAAGGTCACAAGAAGGAGAGACAATTGTTTGCAGGGTGTCCAGGCACAGAGCAGCACCCAACCCTCGCATCTCCCTCATGCCATGACTCCTTAGTGTGCACTGACTATGGCCACTACAGGATGCAGTTACCACTGCATCACTTCAAAAAACCACAACTGAGGGTTGACTGTAGGCCAGGCACATGTCTAGACACCGGCAATGCCAGACAACAGAAGGACCTCAATATACAACCAAGGGAACAGGAAGCATTTTCCGTCACCCTAAAAACTGGTTCCTAGGGCCCCTGGATGTAGCCCTGAGATCCTGAGCCACAGAAGCCATGTCCTAAAGGTCACTTGTCTCAGTAGCTGCCCTCAAACACCTCTGACCCCTCTGCTCCCCGCTCTACTCTTATGTGATGTTAAGGTGACCAAAGTGGAATAAAAGATGCCACCTCTCTTTGGCCTCAGAACCTAGTGAAGGAAGCCCCCAGAGAGTCCTGAAGCTAAGGGCACTGCCAGTAAGAGACACTGGCGCTGGGCTCGCCAGCTGGAGGCAGGGAGGCTGCAGAGTTGGTGCAGGTGGAGACTGGGTGCTGGTGCCCTTGTAGGAGCCCAGGAAGTGTCCCTGCAGTTGGTTCACCTCTCTGGGGACTCATGGGGAGGTGCCTGCTTCCCAGGAACACCAGTAACCTTGCAGAGAGCTCTGATGGGGACATGTGGAAAGGAGCTATGTGCAAGCCAGGTGGCACTGAACAAAGGCTCCTTCCTACCTGGAAAGGGGCAGGGGGACTGTTCAGCTGACAACTGAAAAGTTCACGGCTGCCTCCCACCATCGAGGGGGACAGATACACCAAATCCACAGAGACCAGCAGACTAAACCAAACTGAGAGCAGACCTGGGGGAGTGTGCCACTCCTTTCATGGCACCCCAGAGAGAGAAAGACAGCCCACACCTCCCTCATCCTGGGAAGAGATTTGAACAGACTCACAAGCTTCAAATTGGCTGGTCTAAGGCATAATGAGCAAGCGTGCCTGACCACGCTGAGGAGCCCTGGCAGACACAGCAGGAATGGAAAATAGACTGAGTTTAATGGATAGAGAAGGCACAGGGCTTGGGTTTTGAGCCCATGGGGCTAGATTTCCTGGCAAACTGGTTCTATCGGTTAAGTAAGGCCCTTTCAGACAGTACAGATGGAAAAATGGAACTGTGGTAGCTGGAAATTGGGGTAATAGAGCTGAGCTAGATGGGACCCTAAGGAAAGGAATTTTAGTACTAAGATCTATCTGCATGTGCCTATATTGGGGTACAGTCATGGGCAGCAGAGGGTGGAAGGTGCGAAGGCTCTGGGGCCTTCCAGTAGGGAAGAACTCCTGGCCAGTGAAGACTAGTCTAGAGTGTGCTGAGGAAGCAGAGGGAGGTGGGTCGGCAGAGACCTGGGTGAGAGGAACTTGGATCTGATTCCAAAGCAACAGAAGCCAATGAGAAGAAACAGTATGGCTCATCTACCCTCCCGGCACCAGGCACCATTGCAGGAGCCTGGCAAGTGGTTTATCCCCTTTGACGGCTCGTTCTATGTGAACTGACATTCACGCTGTAACTGTGGGTGTAGGACGTATTGTGGGGAGAGGGGAGACAGAGGACCTTTTCACCTTATTTTGAGATGGGGTCTCTCACTGAACCTAGAGCTCATAGATTAAGCCAGACTGCCTGGCCAGCAAGCTCCAGATATCTGCCTGTCTCACTTGTCTCCCCTATCCCCACCCCAGCAGTACTGTGGTTACAGATGTGTGCATCTGTGCTTGGTCTTCATGTGGATTCTGGGGTATGAACTCAGGTCCTCATACTCGCACAGTAATCATTTTGCTGATGAACTGTCTCTCCAGCCCCAGGTCTTGTGTCCTCAATGTATGTGAGCACCTACAGCATACCAGCCCAGCCCAGTGAGTGATGCCTGTGCTCAGGACTTATGTTCCATTGGGATGGGAGGGGGGTTGGATGAGTTAGGTTAATAGCCTGCTATCAGGGGCCCAGAGAACAAGGGAGGACAGAGGCCATGCGGAGGTAGGGTGAGGGTTGTAATGGGAAATGGGGAGGTCAGAGAAGACCTCACCATGAAGGTGACATTGAAGCTCGATTTGAAAGTGGACAGAGCCACTGGCATCCTTGAAACAGGTCTTTGGCAACCCTCAGAGATGAGCCTTCCTGTTGTAAGAAGCTCGATTTGAAAGTGGACAGAGCCACTGGCATCCTTGAAACAGGTCCTTGGCAACCCTCAGAGATGGAGCCTTCCTGTTGTAGCGGTAGGGCAGGGACTCAGCCAGGTGAGCAGGAGACTTGTGCATGGATGCAGCTTCCACCCTATAGCTGCCAACAGTCTGTAGTGAATAATGAGCCAACAGTGGGCTTCTAACCTCTGATGGATACATGGAATAACCAGCTGGAGTCTCCTAAGACAGCCCCAGGAACTCACAACAGCCCAGGGACGGAGGGACGGAGGAGAGGGCTGGCTATGTTCCTCTTGCTCTATGGCACATGGCCTGAGGCTCCATGACGCTGGCCAGCAACAATGCTTTTGGCTACCCCTTTTGTTATTGTTGAGACAAGGTCTCATGTAGCCCAAGCTGGCCTCGACCTTGTTATGTAGCTGAGGATGACTCTGAATTTCTGATCCTCTTGCCTTGAGCTCAAGGGTGCCAGGATTACAGGTGTATGCCAACATGTCCATTTTATTAGGGATCCAGCGCAAGGCCATGCGCATGCTAGGCAAGCAGTCCACCAGCTGTGCTTAATCCCAAGCCTTTGGCTACTTGTTTTCCTCCCACAGAGAGGAAACCAGTGTTCAAAAGCATAAAACTTCTTCCCTGTGTAAAAACCCTTGACATCACGCCTATCCAGGAGCTGTCCTGCTCCTTTCAGGTGGTGGCTGCCAAGACCCCGGGTTTCAGTATGACCCTGTTCCATGCTGGGGGAGCAGCCTGGGTTCTGTGGCTTGGGTGAGGTACCTGGTGTACATTGTCCTGCAAGGTCCACTGTGGACAGCAGCACAGATTGAACCTGCTGGATGGGACCTGCTGAACATGCTGAACCACACCTGTTTGGGGGTTTTCACCCATCGTGTGGAGAGAGGCCTTCGGCTTCCCACCTGTGCTCATGCCCCCATGTTCGTCTCTGGGCAGCTTTCACATATTGGAGGATCAGAGACAACCAAGACTGACCCTGAAGGAGCTCAAAGTCTGAAGGTCAGAATAGCTGATGCAAAGGGTATGAGGACAGGGCCTGTGTGTAGCATTGGGCTTGGAGGGCAAAACAGGAACACGAAGATCTTTCTGTCCAAAACAGAAGAGTTGGATCTTTCTGGAAGGAAGGTTTCAACAGAAATGACTCACATGGACATGCCTTGGAGCAGCCAGCCCAGGAGAGCAGGAGAGCAGACTGAAGTGCTTGGAGGTGAGATGGGAGGTGTCACTGCACTCCTGCCTCCTGGGAGGGCTGACAGGTCAGGGGGGACAGGGCTCACTGTCTCCAGCATCATCAGAACAGAGAGAGTGTGTGTCAGTCCAACACGGAGCTTCCAGCCTTGCCCGCACACGTCCTTTTTCTTTGGAACACCAATTGATTTTTTTTTTCTTAAGTGTGTTACCCTCTGTTTACTTTAGAGACAGAGAAACCGGAGGGAGAGTGACTTCTTCAGATTCTAAGTCGTTAGTGACGGAGGTGGGATTAAGTGCTCTGCCTGGCACCCTCGGTGGATTTCATGATATTTATGTATAACGTCACTCCTTCCCTCTGCCACCCTGCAGGTAAACAGAGCTGATAGATATGAGGATGACGGTGGCAGAGCGCTTGCCTCCATACTAAAAGGCGACAGGAGTGAGGAGGCTCATTAGGAGGAAATATTGAACAGGCACTTTTGCCTCCTGCCTGCGATTGGAGAGCAAAGCTAGTTCTCACCAAAGCCATTACTCAAGTGGC